GGGTGCTGCGGGGTCTAGCCTTGCCTATCCACCAAAGATCATAAACCCCGACGTATTCCTCCCCCTAGCAAAGGTATGTGGAAGCCTGGAGAGACGAAAAGGTTTTCCAAGCCCAGAAAACACAAGCAGTTGCTGAGCTGCTCCGTTTGCAGGACCTGCCCCCCCAACCTGTGCTCTCCCAAACTGCAGACACATGTCTATGGCAGAAAAATGAGATTTCTGAGCAGCATCCCCCCAGCCCAAAGCACCGTGTTGGTATTCTGGTCTTCCCGCTCCTGCAAAGCAGCCTTATTTATCCCAGACCAACCAGCCTCAACCTGAACACCAGTGAATTATACTGGGCGTTATCTAATGCGATGAATGGGCACCATGTCTGAGCAGATGATTCAGTGCCGTCCCCTCATGCAAGACAAAGCTACCAGATATCTTTGCACAGGCAGTGCGTTAGAACTAGCTGAAATGATGTTTCCTGCAGCTTCCTTGTGCACACAGTAAAGAAAGAAGGAAAAAAATAGGAGGCAGTGTTCTGCCTCTCAAATGATCACCATACAAAGTATTGACTTTTCAAAATAATCTCATCAGTGCTGTTGGGTACAAAATTTATTCCGTGTCTGATGCAGATGCAGCCCTGTTGTTTAACCACTCAAACTTGTTCTGATTTCAAAAAGTATTTTAGCCAAGACAAAGAGGTTTATTTTAATGAAAAGCCTATAATCCAAAATATTTACAACTTCTGTTCTTGTTGCTTACCCCCAGGGATTGCAGATCCTCTACACTACGTCCTGTGCAAACTATTGAACGCTTGTGCTTGAAGGTCTTTGCACTTAGAAACAATCTGGGCAAAATTTGTAAATGAATATAAAATCCCAGTTTCCTCCCTCTCTTTTTATCCCTCTCTCTGGCTCAGAATGGCAGTGCACAGTGGACAGATTTGGAGTCTGTTTGCCAAAAAAAAGGAGCTAATATTTACCAGTACTGATGTTTGTCTTTTCTGTAATGCTCTTGATCTAAATCGTTTTACAGACCTGAATGGCCATGCATTGGAAATGCCTCAAAAACTCACTTGTACAAAACATAGCCCTCAGTGCATAACTGGAACCAGACTCATATTCCCTGAGCTCTGGAAAAACAAATTCTCATGACTGAAAATTGATCAAATAGCATCTCTCTGACCATGAAACAGCTACTGCAGCACTGCAAAAACACTGATGGACATACACTAAAGAAAACCAGCTTCAGGACAGTAAGTGTGGGCACCAGCAGGAGCAGCTCAGAGAAGGTGGACAGAGGAAGGCAAGTGATGAGTGGCCAGTCTTTAAAAAATACAGAGGGAAAAAGAGGGAGAGGGAAGGGGGAAGACACTCTGTAAGAGACCATGGGAGGTCCAACACCCCTGCTCAGGGCCAGGCTCACCTCTTCCCACTGTTTTCAAAAACAGTTCAATAGGTACTCCCAAAATCTCATTGATGCTCTTGTTTTCTTCACATTTTGTTTTGAATAAATGCAGACCTTGTGGAAGCAGCCGAAGGGGATGTTTGCATCATTGCTACAAGCTTGCCATGGGGGCTCTGCCCCAAACCAGGGAGAACGGGGCTTCACGGGGTGCTTCCAGCCTTCAAATTCCACTTGATCGTACATGCTGAGGACTGGATAATGGTTTAAGACCATTTAAGACTGTCTGAAACATTTAAGACAGTTAAAGATGTCCATGAACGGGTACGTGTTACTTCCATTTGCACAGAGTTGGCAAGAGGATGAGAAAACCATTTGGAAACAGAGCAGGAGGCACCTGGGGATGTTCTCCACAAAACAGTGTTCGGTGTGTGCTGCATCTCACTTGGGAAAGACAGGCTTTCTAAGCTGGAGGAGAGTCCATGCTTCCTTAGATCTCCTGATATCATTGGTGTATATTGACTCAGCCTGAAATAGCATTTGCAGAGATGATTTTTCCTTCACTCTAAATACCTCCTGACCGGGCTGAGGGACCGCAGAGAGCCATTCTAACTGGAGCAGAACTGATCACTGCTACCTGAGAAAGCAAGAGTTAGCTGTCTTAAACACACACCAATACAACTCAGTTTAAAGCCCACATGAGAAATTGTGGAGGAAAATACATCTGAGATACCCTCCGTGTTTCCACTACCTGCCAATGCACAGGTCTCGGCCAAATCCTGCTTCTCCCAGGCTGACCATCTCTCTTTAGGCAACACGTGATCGGAGGAATGCACACTTTCCCTATTATTTCAAGCCTGCCTCTTCCACGCATGATCTCTCTCTCTCCTCTCTATTCTTCTACTGTTTCTACCCCCTCCCCATCTCCTGCAGCCCCACTGCTGTTGTTGTAAGATCCTTCCCCTCTGCAGCTTCTGCCATCTGGAACCGCCTTCCTGTATCCCACCAACTCACTCCCAGCTTCATCTGCAAATGCATCTCCAGGCCCTCGCCTGTTCCTTTGAATTCCTCTCTCCTTCTGCTGCTGTTTATTATTTAACTCTGTCATTGCATTATTTAAAGTGTTATTAAGGCACGCTTGAACCAGAGTCTGCACAGGAGTGCCACAGTATAGAAAGTTGGACCCTCAGCAAAAATACCCTGAGAGACAAAATCATGACAGCTGGAGGGAAGCTGTTTGGATGGAAAAGGGGAAGGCAATTTCTGGATACCACCATGGAATTTCTCTCACCTTGGGACTGATAGAAGAGCTTTGTCAAGATGCCTGCTGCTGGCTGCTGCATAGTAGCACTGCCCAGCCAGCTGACATCAAGGCAGAGTTGTCCCTTCTTGTCCCAATCTTGCTGCCCTTGTCACCCAGCACCAGTCACAACCACAGGCTTGTGGGTCCTATCCCCCTCCTTAAAATCATTCCTTGGGGAGGACTGCAGGGCTGAAATGCTCTATCAGCGACCCAGATTCACGCCCCTCTCCTTGCCATTCCTTTCCACCAAATGTGAAAACTGCACATCAAGGGGATATGGGAAACACAGCTAACCCCCCATCTGAAAAGGGTTTTGTTTCAAATGAGATGTAATCCCGCTGGAGATAACGCAGATGCACAAATGATTTGCTTAAAGATGAGGTGACTATGGCCCTGCAGACAGCTTGGGTAAAACCAGGTCAGAATGGGCAAAAGGAACCTGTTCCCTGAATGACACTTCCCTAGGTGGTGAATTCCTTGCTTTTTCTTTAGGAATAAGGAGCAAAATTACTGTATTCTTCATGAGCTCTCGTACCCCAGGAGAAATGAAATGTGAACTGAAACCTTCTCTTCAAAGGCTTTGAAATCCAGGAAACTGCTATGTAAAGAAATGTATTTCTACCCTTACAAGTAACAGACCATAAACTTTTTCTTCTGACACCCTGGAGCACTTGTGCAATTCAGTCAATGCTTCGCTGCCTGCAGACAACCCCCGGGGCTGGCCCTTGCCCCTGTGGGGTTGGTTACCTGAAGTCTCTGCACTCTTTTCACTCATCCCAGTGTAGCCTGGGGGGCACAAGGGCCATAGTCACTGCTGCATGAAAGAGCAAGGTGAAAGCTGAGTCCAGAAGTCCTGCTGCTCTAAAATCAGAGCACACATCCTCCCTTCTTTTGAGCAAAGCCACTGTGGGCATTTACATGGGCTGAAGGGTCACTAAATGGCAGTGGGTTAACTTGTGAGCTGAATTTTAGGGAGGGATCCAGACTTCTCTGCTTCCCCATAGAAGACCTCAGCTCATTAACTTGATTTTCCCAATGGGTGTTTTTGCTTCTTGAATGGCTCCAGTGAGGCCAGTCTTGCTGGTGGGTCTGGAAGGCACCAATGGCTCAGCGGGACAGAATGGTGCTTCCTCCTCTCCCCATTGCTCATGTGCTGAGATGAGGCTTGCAAGGTGCAGTGGAGGCAATAAAGACTTTGTGACTCACAGTCCTGCCTTTCGAGGTGTGCATTTATCTCTTGCCTCCCCCCAGATATGTTAAAAACCACTGTGGTTTCACCAATGCCAAACTTTTGCTTTGATGACCAAATACTAGAATCTAGATCAGGATTTCCAGGGTTATTTCTATCACATGCCAAGAGGCCAGGAACAAGTTTCTAAAGGCTTTTAAAAGACTTTTACAAAGCTCCACCCTATTCAGTCTGGACAGTGATGGAGGGTAGTAAAAGGCGACAGAAATACTTATATCCAGATTTGACTCTTTTGATTCAAGTAAATTTGGTAACAGCTAAAGTTTATTAGCAAGAAAAGGCTGTTGGATGATCACTGAAATGAGCAGCAGTTTCACAGAAAGCCTCACATTTAATCCGTTGGCAAGAAATGCGCAGCACTGTGTTTTGGGAGATTTTGAATCCCCACCACAAGAGCCTGGACTGTCCTTGTTTTTCCAGGAAGGTCTGATGCTGTTTAAGATCACACTGCATGACAGACACAAGGCAGCTCTCGCTGCCAGACCTGTCTCCTCTCCGATGCCTGAAACCGGCAGCACCAAATCACCCCAGGGCAGCACTGTGGCTAAAACTTGCTCTGGCACAACACAGTTATCCTCAGCATCAGACCTAAATTAACCACAGAAGGATCAATCAGACATGACCTGCACAGCACACCTCGCTCTGCTTGGAGCATCCCACTGCCACAGCCAAGGGACATTGAACACTGGCCCATTTCTGAGAGCAGCTGGAGAGGTTCAAGGTTCCCAACTCAAAAGACTCATTGAGAAAAATGTTCTTCTCTTCCAAAAATTAATTCCAAAATGCTCCCAAACAAGTTGCACAAATAACTGGGTGCTTTGTTGTGTTCAGCTGCAATTCATCCACAGTGCTTTACTTTCCTCCCACACAGGGCTTAGGTGAGACCAGGTCCCTACAGCAACACGGGATGGTGTTACACAGCATATGGCGAGACAGATCCCAGCAGCCTTTACACAAGTATTCATGCTTAGCAAAACATCTTGTGCTACTCAACAAATCAATTCTGGAAGCTCTTGATAGCTGGCTAAAGTTGGATTTAAAAAAATTACCACTTACCTGCCAGAATATGCTGTCTATTGTATTTCCCAGAAAGCCATCTCTGCCTTCTGATGATACCAGTTTAGGTCCCAGAATAGTCATAAATTCATCAAAATCAACCTGGCCATCCCCTGGAATGAAATAAAAAGATCAATGTTTTCACTGAAGTACCACTTAGTAACGATGTCCAACATGTGCTCTGGACCTGCTGCATACCGTGGACCCATTTGTGCACTATGGCAGCTCCTACATCGACTTCCTGGTGCCTACAGACCCAAATTTATTGATATCCCAATGAATGGCCCATGCTGTGGCATACCCACACCTAAAGATAGGACCAGGTGATAGAGATGAACAGGCGGTTCCCCAGCCCTGGAGAGTTTATAGGCAAGTCCCTTCTCAAAAAAAAAACAATTCTGGCAGGAGGACAGCAGCCATTAGCACAGCCAGGGCTCTTCCTCGCTACAGAGCTGCCAAACAGCCAGGTCTCTGCAAAGCTTTTACAGGGCCAACCCCATCCTCCAGAGGCAGGGAGTACACACAGAGGGAAGAGCCAGACCATTGCAAATCCACAAGGCATTTCATTCCAGCTTTCCATCAGCATCCATCTCCTAAACGCCCCGTGTGCTCAGCATGCAGAGCAGGCAGTGTAGACACAGCTTCAGTGCCATTAGCAGGAAGAGGAGACTGCTCCTGCCATTAATGAACTGAGCCTATGCAGTCCCAAGCCCCTGCAGTATATTGTATGTTTTGAAAATGAGGCATGTGGCTCTTTGAAGTATGTCTGAGCATTGTATCAAATGTTACTTTTCCCTCAGAGAACTTCTGTGATGCTTAATGAAAATGGCAAAAAAGGGAAATTCATGCCTGTTGAAGGATCTTAAAAAGACCTGTTTCTCTGAACAGGGTAGTTCAATGTCTATATGCCTCTCCTTCGTCTCTAAGTCCATAAACATACCCTCCTACATGTTATTAGACCGATTGATATGGGTGGATATATTAGCCCTCCTTCAAGTCTGGAAACAGAATCAGCAACTGTAAGACTTTTGGTTGATTTTTATTCAAATTCAGCTGGAACTGACTGCATCCACCTCTCCATGTAGTTGCTGTTGCTAAATTATTAGGTGTAAGAAGTGTCTAAAACCATCAGACTAAAGCAGATCAATGCAAGGGCTACTATTAAAATGTCACTACTGACTGCAGTACCTGCAGGAGCCCTGTGTGACAGCTTTACCACGTGCACTGCATGCTGCTGCTATCTGTCCTTTTTATTATATTTCGTATGCTTGATCTGAGCATACGCACCACTGATTGAAATCTCTCCATGTCCTTATCTTCTCAGAAACATAATGTGAAAATAAGCAGAATCAGAACACACATTTGCCAGAATAGTGATTTCTATTCATTAGGCTCTGGCCGCAATTTCTTGAAGACAAGAGTGAATATCCTAGGGGTGAGCCAGCGATAGAGGCTCTGAAAAGAGACTCAGCAGGGATTCATAATAGCTTTGATCCCACGACATGCAAGAAGACCCCATCCAACTGCTAAAGTTGCTCACACCTTCAGGGATCAGCACATGCCGAAGGGCTTTGCGGGGCTGGAGCGGGAAGTGTGTTTGCAGGATGGAGCTCATTTCTGGAACAGCTTATTAAGCAGAAAAGCAAAGGGGTGGGCACCCCATCACTTGGAAAGCCATTCTTTAAAACATTTATGGGCTACAAGAAAATGTGTGCCTTCTGCTTCCCCACGGGAAGCATCAGTTTATGACATCAAGTCGGATTGTATCAGTCACAGCACGTTGGATCACGTTGGGGGAGGTAATGCAAGGTGACAGTGGATTCGGGGTGATTTACACTGCAGTACATCACTGCAAGGGAAAGGCAGTAACAAAACCATATATTATGATGAAAATTGGGTTACAGAAATTAGCCACATTAGCAAGAAAACAATTTGCATTTTAAAGAGATTCTAGTACCTGCCGATGTATATATTTGGTCTATCCATATGTGACCCCAAAATATTGAATTATTCAATTTGCATTTTCTACAATGTCATTTCATCCACAGAGGAGAGGCAAGACTTAGTCTTACACAGGACTCATGAGAAAGCGGGTGCCAGGACTCCTGAGCTCTGTGTCTGGCTCAGAACAAGACTTTGGGCAAACCCTTGCTCATGTCTTCCCTGTGCCTTTGCCAGGGATCATAACTAACTTCACAGGGTTTAATTATCAGCTTAATTATAGCATTTTGCACAACCTCAGAAGAAAGATGCCATTACAAAATGCATTATCCCCTTATTGACTGCTTTTTCAATTAAAACTGTTAACTAGCATGGAAACTAGACCCCAAAACATTTTGCCTGGCAGAAATATCCCTTTAACAATCATTTTAAGCTGCAGAAAACAAACTTGCTTGCCATCAGGATCTCAGGAGGCTGCAGCATCATAATATCAGGAAAGAGAACTCACAATTTTGGCTGAAACTTCCTTTTATGGTATTCAACAGCTGGGGGAGAAACATTATAAAAAACAACACATAGGGTCCAAGACACACCAAGTGCAACTCTGCATGGTTGCAATGTGAAAATACACAGGGTTGCTCTCCACAACCATGGTAATGACCAATACCCACATCACCTGTAGGATCTACAAGCATTCAGACTACTCATCAGATACTGGGAGTACTCAGATTGAAATTTTGTGTTGGGTAGAATCAAAAGATCCCTTCCTCCTCCTCCTCCTCTGAGCCATAGTCATGTACATGGCATGCTACAAGCTGATGTGTGATGCACACATCAAGCATCTGCTGGAGAATCTATATTGGAGGCAAATCAATCACTGCACACATCCCCATTTTTGGCTTTGCTGTGCTTACAGATGTGCTCCTCACCCCAGAGTAGTTGATATTCAGAGTGAGTGATGTGCAGCTTATTCAGAAATAAACTTTTAGTTGGGTTTAAGGGGTGGGAAGAAGGGGAAGAAAACATCAGGCTGGAGCATGTGTGCTGTCCACGCTGCTCTCACCTTCCCCTGCTCCTTTCCCGAGCCATCCAGCAAGCCCTGATCAACACTGCCACCAGCAGCGATCACACAGCCCCAGCCCCTCGCCATCCCCCCAGGCCATTTAATAATGTGTGCAGTGTTCACACCCTCCCCACACTTTCTGCCTCCAAGCTCACATTAACTACTTTAGCAAGAACTCATCACACTGAAGGAAAACAACCTTTAAGGGTGTAAGAGCCACGAACAGGCAAAAAGCTATGGCCAGGATGGAGGGAGCTGTGCTCCCCATCCAGTGACAGTTGCAGTTACTCTCCATTCCCCGCTCCCACCAGTTACAAATGCAGACGAGGTTTATATACCCAAGCCACACTGCAGTCCCTGACTGATGAAGGCATTCACACATTGCAGTACCTTTACAAACTGGGAGGGCAGGGAAACCTTGAAGCATGACAGTGCAGGTCAGCTTGAGCAGGGGAAGATCATCGGGTGACAAGGTGGGTGAGGACCAGAGGGGTTCCAGCCAGGATGCCATCCCATCAGCCAAGGGATGGTCACTCCTTGTGTGGGTTATCTTAGTGAAACACCAGAGCTGAGCTTAACCCCTGCTTTTAAACTACCTAAAACATTCATTTATTGACTTACAGTTATGCCCTAACATTTTTCTCCCCCATAATGTTTCCTCTTAATCCTTGCATTAATGTCAAAGAGTCAGAAGAGGGTTAGCAATCATGAGGCTGAACCTTGCATGACTAAAACTATGACTCAGAACATTGCTGGCCACATCATCAGAGACAAATCAGATCTGCTTATCATTACTAGTCCGTTAGCATCGGCTGAGTGCTAAATGCTTCCAGATACCCACAGAGGTTTTCTCCCTGCAAGACACTGTCTCAGTTCTGACAAAAAACAGGCAAAAGTGATAATAAAAATGAATAAACAACTAGATGCACTATCAAGGGCCCTGGGAGCAATCGTGTGAGCCTGGATAATTGCTCCATTGTGGAAAGAGGATGCTGAAGGCATCCAGCGACATCTTTGGGTGCTCTGGGAACCTTTTCAGTGTCCAAAGACCACACGTGGCCAGCAAGGGGTCCTGGACCTGCCAAAGTCCCAACAAGCACTGTTCACTCACTGGGTACAGAAAGACTTTGGGGATAATTTCAGTTTGAAGAGCCCTAGCATCAATGTTTGCCATACTGTGAGCTCAGTTCGGCTGCCACCATGGAGCTTCACAGAGCTACAGCAGGCAATCATTGGGCCCAGCATCATGTCCAATATCTACTTATGCCAAGCACACCAAAGATGATAGAGTGGCAGCTAAAAGCAGCATGGAGCTGGGAAACCAAGCTCTTTTCCATCTTTCCCAGACACTGCAGCCTAAGTAAATTTGCTTTGGACCTGACTTCCCTGAGGAAGGGGTATCTGGTGTTTATATCTCTGAAAATGTCCATTAGGTGTTCTAAATAAACCAATGGGGTATAGAAAAAGGATAAGCACTAATGACTCAGTGTATAGAGGAGACTGTAAAACTACCACTGCGCTCCCAGGGAGCAAACTCTGGGTTGGTCATGCATGTCGGAGGGAGCCAAAGGAGCTTCCAGCACTCCTGAAAGGGGATTTACTCTCCTAAGCTACTTGCTTTCAACACCAATTCATTCATATTGGGGTTGTGCTTCCAGATCTCCAGGCCAAAGAGGTTTCAAAATGCTATCAGTAGGTGCTGTGCTTCACTGGTGTGTAAGTGCTATGCACAGAAAATCACAACCCTCCCTCTAAGCTGATGGGCTTTCAGCTCCTGCCCAAGGATTTCATCTTCACTCAGTCCCCTTGACTTTAACAAAGGGGAGAAGGGAAGGTTGTATTTGCTGGAGGATGTTTAGCAGGAAACACGCAAGTCTTTGAGGGCAGGCAGAGCTCTGCTGTCACCTTGTCAGGGCACCAAGGAGGGCAACCACAGCATGAAATACCCCCAGCTGCACCCTTACACCAAACCAAGCTGCACCATGTGACCTGAGCCCCATCCTGCCTTTCTCTTGGTGCATTTGTCCTGGTCCCACAGGATCTCCCACCAGCTGTGGTTTGCCAAAGATTGGATGTGCCAGGCAGGAAGAGTGAGGCAGACCACCCTCA